ACAAAAAGTGAAAATGAAAACCAATTATCAAATGCCTATGCTTGTGTACAGTGACACATTTGACTGCAACATGCACAGTAATACAATAGATAGGTTTATTCGTTCATTCCATTTATTAAATATAACTTACATATATGTACAAAATGCATTGTGAATCAAAAAAACTAGAATATTCCTAGCTATTGAAGCGAACATCCTTCAATCATTCCACTCTAGTGATGTTTCAATGACAAAACATTGCTTACTACAGTGAAACCAGTTCAGATTGAATTCCAGCAGCAGGCTGTCAAACAGTTGATGTATCATCGCCATTACATTACATTACGGCCTTCAATGTAAATATATGCATAGCATTTCATATATCGTGGCATAATTCAGTCATTAATTGTTAAATACAAAAAAAGAAAGTCAAATACAACTTTTTACGTGACATCTTTCCAGTCAATACATTGTTCCAGTTTAGACAGGTTTTGAGCTTACAGTGTTCAGTTTAGACAAGATTCAATTTACATTTTGATCAGTTTACACATGTTACATCTCAGAGACTCAAAGACAAATTATAAATATATTCCATTGCCATTGTGCAACGACTATAGAGTTGCCTGGTGTGTCAATCACTAGTACATTATGTAGAACCTAAATTGGGTGTGACATGAGAATATACTATTTGTTGTCTCACATTTGTTACAGTCAAACAGAATGTAGAACTGTGGTCAATTGAGTCAGATCACAAAGATTGTTGCGTTACTATTAAAATAATACGAGAAGCAAGCAAGATTCAAAACCATTGATCGTATCAGTTCTGGTATTCAGCCATGAGAATTCACATTTTGATTGCCATGGAAATCACATATCTGCCAATGTAATATAATTCCTGGATATATCGTTATCTTTAAATCATGTCCTTTGTGACTGATCTGAAAAAACAGATATTATACACATGTCAGAAGATGACAAGAAATATTAATAATACATTAACATAGATATTTAGAAAGTCATGCATTTTAGGAAATACACGTATTGATACTTTTTAGTCTTTCAGAATTCACCAAAAAATAATCAAGACTGATGATTATCCCAGAGTACCTATGTGCCAAGTTTTATTAAAATAGACTGATGATTTTACAAATATATTGCCAGAATTGCGAAATATGTGCTAATGTTAAGCACATTAAGTAATTAATATGCACAGATTTTAACTAAAAAATGTAGGAATGAAATAGCTTCGCAAAGCAGTCTTGCTATAATAATAATAATGCATGCACACATGTTGTCACAAAAACCTCATAGGGACAAACCAATAACCTGGGCTTTGTTTACATTGAAGTGTTTCCACTCATGTGTTTAGAATTTATCATTGTTAACGATATGTTTAATAGTACTTAAATTGTAGGATATGTCTCTGAATTAGTAGTAGTAGAATTATTCATTAAAAATAGAAAATTGAAATATGACACAAAATGATCAAATCTAATAAAGGACCAACCAAGGAAGATAAGTACTATGTATAAAAGCAATAGAGTTTTCAAGAAGATGTTGCTTGAAAATAAATTTGACATGGTATGATGATGAGGGACAATCACCTACATGTATGCCAATAGCAATGACTGTCATATTTGCTAATAATGTTGATTATCCAAAAGCATCTATTACCAAGTTTCATTGAAATCTAATGAGTGATTCTTGTTAAATGAGTGAACATATGTATACTTTAAACTTTAACAATAAATTAAAAATTATAACAAAGATAAGTCACTTAAATTTGCTTACTTTTATGCGGGAGATTCACTTGTACGGATGTATTCAATGAAAAAGCTTTACTTCTCAAGCAAGCACAAAATAAGGTGATATCATTTTTATTTTCTTATTATAATCATCCAGTATAAAAATCTGTCATTTTTTTTTAAATACAGAAATAATTCTACCAATCATAGTTCCTATCTCTAGAGGGCAGTGTTTCAACAGATATCAAAAACTCACCTTTATATGCATATTCCAAAGCACTCGATACGGTTCTCATGTCAGTCTCTATACTTTTTGCCCAGTTTTCTACATCACCTATCTCCTATAAATTTAGAGAGAACAAGAATTTATGAATAAAGTAGACAATGTGTGCTTGTCTTCCGCCCAAGGTTCCTGGAACAAGAAAGGCTGGTCACAAGCATTTGCGCAGTTCTATTTTTGTGTAACTTGCAGAATAACAAGCATGGCACAGTCCCTGTTAGTTATTGAATTTAAGATATATAGTTTTGTTATAGTAATATAGCTGGAATATAAACATGTCAAGAATATGATTATGATGATTGTTTAACATTTAAATGATTGACATTTGTATCTGATCGTCAAACGAGTATTGAGAGATATTGCTCTGGAACAGCATTAATTAAAACAAAATCAGCCATTTTGAATACATGTATAATGGATATATAAAATTTGAACAGAGTCAGTCAAAGCATGTCAGAGATATGGCTCTAGAAGCCCATTCATTAAAACAAAATGGCCACTAGTCAGCCATTCTGAATCTGATCTAAAAAATAAAATAATGTGCATCAGGAACCTGTAATGTCTAATGTACATTGTGTGTACCAAGTTTGAACAAAATCCATCCATAAATGCCAGAAATGCTAGATATTTGATGTTTTTTTTAGTACAAAAATGACCACCATTCGGCCATTTTTAATAGGATCGTCAAACCAATATATCTTTATATCTATGACATGATGTATAATGAATAATTAAAATTTGAATATAATCAGTCACAGCAAGATATGGCACTAGAACCACATTTATTAAAACAAAATGGCTGCCAGTCAGCCATTTTGAATCTTATCTGAAAACAAAGTGATGTGCATCAAGTTTGAACAAAATCCATCTGTGAACAGCCGAGAAATGCTTGATTATGATGATTTTTAGTACAAAAATGGCCGCCATTTGGCCATCTTGAATCAGATCGTGAAACAAATTGATGTGCATATGTATAATATCATGTATGATGTATGTATGAAGTTTGATTGTGATTGGTCCAGGCATTTCTAAGATACAGGTCTTGACGCACGCACGCACGCATGGACGGAAGCACAGAGGTCAAAACATAAGTCCCCTGTTCGGACTAAACGAATGAATATTTTGTTTGCCTGGCATAGTTCATTATCACTACCTTGTGGGCACTGTATTTTCTTACTAGCATACTGCATGTGTTGAAATGCCACTATCATGTTTACAAATGCATCTGTTAAATATTCAATAATGAACAGGTTTGTCTACTGGAACAGTACCAATGACACCTTCTTTGACAAGATTTTCTCCTGCATCTCTGTTATGCATTTTCAAAGAATTATTGGTTATGATTATACCACCATTTTATAGTTTAGTGAGTTTTTACATGGTTTGTCAGTATGAACAGTGTGTTCAAGTCGAGGTTGTTTACAATGATATGCATGTGACGCATTGTGAATTTTTCAGTGATTGCACTTGCCACATTTACTTAAAAGGCGGCAGTCATCGTGCCGCGTCCTGTTCGATATGAGACTCATAGCAACATATTCAATGAGTGTAAAATACTTTGTTTATTTACATGAAATTTGAACACGGGCTGTGCGATGACCACCACGCTTTAAGCTTTTTCAATGCACTGGCCCGGGCCATTTTGTTTTGTGTGATGTGTGTTGTTGTGACCATTTTGGTCCTCATGGTGATTAAATTTAATGAACAAAATACACTTCTTCAACTATTTGCCATATGTATGATCCCTGCATATAAATGCAAGTGCAAGTGATAAACCATGCAGGTTGTAGCAAAATGATGCGATTGAAAGTGAATGTCATCCTGTTAATGAATCAGTGTAGGATGATGATGATACAAGAGAAATCACATTTGGTGTTGAAATGAAATGCAGCCTACCAGGGAGTCAGAGAGTCTGTTGCTGAAGCCAAGATAAGATGGTCATGACGTGCCAATCAAGATAGGAGTTGAAGAAAATGTTCAGTGCATTTGTCCAAGACATGTTTTTGACAAGGATGAAAAAACATATGATTTCAAATATGCTTGAATAAATTAACATGATTGGTATTTCAGTATACTGTAAAATACTTTATTTTAGCTGGATTTAATTTTCGCTGTATAGACTTTTTTAGTGATTTGTATGTATTTTTTTTCACTGATTTTTGACAAGTTGAATGTAAAATATGGGAAAAAAGGTATATTTGCTGGATTTTATTTTCACTGAATCATTCCTTCAGTGAAAATAGCGAAAATTAATTTCAAGCGAAAATAATGTAGTTTAGTTTGTATTTATCAAACGTAATAATTCCTGGCAACCAACAAATTTGTACCTGGCTACTAAATTTTCAAGTTTACCACCAACAAATTGAAATGGCAACAAGGGGAAAAACATTAAACTTTGAGGGTTTCAAATAGTTTTCATATAGTTGCTATGTGAATATCTGCTCTTTCAGATTTCTGTGGGGTACATGTATTTATTTATCAATGATATGAATGCAATTGTTAGTATTCACAACTGAAGTGTTTATACTGTATGACACCATAAAATAACCAAATGCTATGTCTGTTTTACAAATTGTATGATTCATATTTTAATCTTACAGTCGTCAATGGTATTAGGAAATGAATTAACATTTCATGGAGATCGGTTCCCAGTAGCCTGAATTCAGCATTCCCTTGCCCAAAATTATCATAATTCACTAAAATCACTATTCAGAAGTAGTGGTGTATCACTGTTTTTTTTTGTTATTTGTGGAACCTCACCCTAAAATTCCACATTATATTGACTGTATTAGTTGACTTTTAATTTTACTGGGAAATGTAACCTCAGATTGATTTTATTAGATGAGTCCTGTCTATTTCTTTTCATAGTAGCCATGTCAACATAGGCTTTTTTTTTTCTGCCCATTGACTGTATATGTGCATTCAAATGTTTGTTGTGGTGGTCTTGTTTCAATGGAACTATAGGACTAGTAATCAGACATTGCACTATCTGTAAACTTGTTTATGTGATAAACCTAGTGTCCATATTTATTTTATGTTTTTGTTTTGAAGTATTTATGTGATGGAATTTATGTAATGTAAAATGTATGCATATTCTACTCTTCATTAAGGGGTGTCAGATGTAAACTTATTTTCCAAGGTCATACTTTATATTCCCTTGAGACCAAATGCAGCCAGGTAGGGTTTACATAAACTCCACCCAACGCATGACTACATGGAAACATATACAGTCAAACCTATCTTAGCGGCCATCATCAACTGTCACCTCTCCGGAGCGGCCACCATGCAGCAGTCCCGTGCAATTTGCCATGTAATTGACACTCCATAGAGCGGCCACCTGTCTAACACGGCCAACAGCCAGGTTTCAGCGGTCGCAGTGATCAATTGAACTGCATATAACGGACATAGTTCCCGGATGTCTTGCAGAGTACAAAAATTAATCATAGCAAATCACCAAAGACAAAGTTGGCACATTTTAACACCTTTCATTCAACCGATGGCTTCGGCAATTATGTTTTTTTTCTCTTGTTTATAATTCAGTTTACCACAGCCAGCCGGTAATCGAATTGATTACCAACAAAAAGATATAACAACTCACTTGTTATTTAGTATCGATATTTATTCACTTTGACTCCTATAAATATCGACAAATACGCATGTAACTAGAACTGATAGCAAAAAAGGGGAAAAAATCAACGCAACGCAACGGCCATGCCTGTTGTTTATCCATCCAAATAAATTATGCTAAATAGCCTAAATAGTTCTTGTTCTTCGTGGGTTATGATAACTCGGGTCAAAAAGTAGTGTCGCTTCAGTTACTGTGTATTGATCACTGCGACGGAATGTGTGTGCAGTATCGTCTCCTTGTCCAACTAAATTCATTCAACCTTTTTTTTCGGTCGCTACTGCCTCGGTACATGTAACAATAGATGCTTTTAACAATGATGTTCAACTGACTTCAGTTCGCCGGCCAAAGTCGCCAGGCATATTTCACATGTTTCTATTGTTGCAGCGGTACAATAACATGGAAGTCGCCCAGATTTTGATTGCGCAAGGTAGTGTTTTGATTAAAGGGGTCAACCATTTCGTGAGTGAGTAAGATTTTTGAAAAAAAAAAATGTTAAAGGGAATTGTGGTGGGGGAAAATACTGTCAAGTTGTCACATAAATGGAAGGAGATCCAGCACTACCATAGTGTTCTTTTCGTGTATGTTGTAGTGATCAATAAAGCTCTGTCCCTCTTTCCTGCTATAGCCCAGGGACATTCCGATTTATTAGAACAGTTACTAAGTGTACAAGACACAATAAATATTAAAAGAAACATAAAAATCAGAATAGCTAAACAAAGCAAGCTGAGTGATTTCTTTAGTAGGAAATGAGACTAAAACTGCTGCTGAACATGAACTTTACTGTACAAATCTTCAAACATTTAATTTTCGATACTACTCTTTATTTTTTATTTGTAAAAAGTGTTTGGATACTCTGTACAGTAGTAGAAGTGTTTTAATGCATTCATTCAATGCCTAATTAATATTCATGAATAAATTAGTGAACCTGTATAGAAAGGCCACCTGTCTATTAAGGCCAAAATCTCAAAGTCTCCTGGGTGGCCACTATTGACAGGTTTGACTGTATTATCCATTGTGATCCAGGCCAAAAATACTGTAAAACACTTTGAAATAGCCACATATCATTTTAGCGAATTTGTTTCAATGCAGGAATTAACTGAATCTTAATTTAGCTAAAGTACCAATAATCTAACTGTGAGTACCGGTATATACTCTATTCTATTTAGTGAAATCTTAATTTAGCGAAATTGGGAATTAGCTAAATTAGCTGAAAAATAATGTGCTAGCTAAAAAGACATTTTTTACAGTATTCAACAATAATCCCACATTTATACATTGACTCGACCACACAAGGGAAAAAATCCAATAATGCTAGTATTGCATGGATATTTTATCCTTGAATCATTATATCGGAGGATCAGGAAAATTGGCATTGTCATGGCAACTTATGTGGAGGATTTTAAAATTGTACATCAGTTACACCTGCATGAATTTTTGCTAATTAGTGATAAGGCACACATTGTGACACTGTTGTCAGGTGTAAATTTAAAATCATGCAATTTAATATCTATAGTAGGATACTTGGTGCATAATTTTTATGAAGTAAATAGTTGTTGCAAGTATTTGTTGCCTCTACTTTAATCAAGTGACCATCAAAATTCCCATGCCTGGCAAACACAGGTGCAAAACATAGATATTTACATATTTTATATTTAGATATTAGAACAATTAAGCATTTCAATCAAATGAATCAAATTCAAAGCAACATGTGAATTTCAATATGTCAAACATTTTATCCCTGCAGGGTTTATTATATATAATCCAATGTGTTCTTCTAATGGAAATCACAAGTATGAGGTTTGACCCGGGCATGACTTGTACGAATTAATACCGGTGACTCCTTGGATACCTTCCATTCACCTAAAAAATATCTAATTGAAGCATGGTAATGTCTCAGTTTGTACTCGTTGATCTGCGCAACAGTCAAAGTCGCCATCTTATGTATATATCAGACGCATATATTTTGCGCATGCGTGGCACGATGACTACCGACCTTTAATAGTTGCCTGCTAAACACATTGTAGCATGCTAGCGTTTTTTCATAGGGCACATTCTTTTAAGCTGCTGGCTCTCGAAAGGGGTGTTAATTGTTAGAGCCAGCGGACTGCCAGCCTTAATGGCTTTGTACCGTAATTCATTGCAATATTCTCAAAATTTGACTGAAACATCCTCGAATCCAATTTACACATGTACACTTACTTTCAGTGCTTGGTTAAAGTGTTCCATCATTTGCAACCACTGCATTGTCTGTTTTGTAAACTGTGCTGCATGAGATTGTAATTGCTTTGCCTCTGCATCTAGTTTTTTCTGATTCACATAAGCCTGTGCTACCCTGGAAGGTTGAATGAAAAGAAGAAACAACACATAAGAAGCATGTATTATGCAATGCAGTTAAATTTAAAGCATTACTGCTAAGGAAGCGAATATTATTGATAATATAATCCCTGGTTTCCCCAACAGAACGTCATTTATAAAATTGTTGAATGCATTTCTTTTTTATTTAGATGAGCATGATGTTGTATTGCTAAAATATGAAAATATAAGATCTGAGTTGGTACAAGCCAAAATAGCCTAAATTGGTGGGAGGTGTTCTTTGAAAAGCCCTTTAAATTTTGAGAAGCTTGAGCCAAAAATAAATGTTAAATTTATGGTATTCAGGAGATATCCAGGTCTACCTGAAATATTTAGTCATTTATGAAGTTATTATTGACTTTACTCCAATAAATCCCATCATGCATTGCTCTTTGAATTCTGCATTGGCTGCATGCTAAACACAACCAAGCAAGGAGGTGTATGATGTTTGCTTGGATGCACTGACAGAAGAGGATTTATTATATATGTAGGACAGACCTTATTGGTATACACTGCAGATCAATTTTAATTAAAATTGCCATTGCATTTGAATTATTTGTGTGATAAAGCCATCTTTAATTGTTTAACAATACATTGCCTGTGAGATTCACTGTCTATTATGACTATTAAAATACAATCATTACATTATCTACATGTACGGAAATGCTTGCTATTAGTAATAGTTCAGCTATTGGCAACAAACTTCTGACTCGCATACAATTAGCCCAAATGTTTGCATTTATTAAATGACGATAACATGAATAATCGCTTCTAGTAAAATACAGGTGACAATATATCTTTAAGGCAAATCAAAATCTCTCTAATATGGAACTACATTTCTTTTCCTGTACAGCGTTCAACTAAAAAGACACCTAGAAGAAATCGGAGATACTCACCCAGAATTAAGGTTATCCACCAAAGCATGAGTGAAGAGAGATGAGGCTGCAATTGCTTCTCTTCTTCGCTTTTCTGACCAAGAAAAGAAAAATTAAATTATTTTTAAAAACTGTAATCTAAAAAACTTTTAAACATGATTCATGACACTCATACCTGTTAAAACAGTTACATACATGTATGCAAATGAAATGAAAATGAAAACACAATTACAACCAAGTAAATAATTCATAGGAAAATCCCCTAACTACACTACTATATTTGAAAAGCATATTATAGAACCTAGAACATTTTTTTTTATTTGGCCACACTGTATTTGCTCCATCAGTAGTGCATGCAACTATGTATATGAACCAGAATAAAATAAATAAGATTTTTGGTTAAATACGTTCATCTATTGGAGATGCACTTCTAATAGAAGTAGGTGAAATTTATAAAGATTCCACAAGGAGTTGAATAATTATTTGGCTTTATGAGAAAAAAAACAACAGTAACACAAGTAACTTTATAGCCCTCTCTGGCTGAACGGCATCAGACCTCACTAATGCCTGCGAATTCGTAAAGTTTATGCCTTCTTGATTTCAATGAATATTCATTTTTGTGGTCATGGTTACACTGTCAATCAAAGCATTGTCAGCAAAACTCGCAGACTGTTTTCAACAAGATGATAAACATCGGGCGGAAATAAAGTCTGCTGTTAATGGTTACTCTTTGATGGCTGTCACTATCTGTTGTTCCTGTAATTTGATTAGTACCACAAAAAATTGTCTGGGAAGTGAATAAGTACATCGTTCTGTCAGGCGTGTTGGGTTTGGAGCACCATGAGGGCGCAACTCACGCAATTTTGTCAGGCTAGTAACTTTGTATGAGAACAGACTCGTGACAATGATTCCTTTAGAAAAGGCGAAGATTTCAATTAGCATATGTAAATACACACCTTATTGATGCTACTATACCCCAGTGTATTGGGTAACTACATGTACAAGCCAATAAATAAACACAACTACACCCATACATGTACAATATATATTCACAGTTAGTAATTGAATACAACAATAAATTTTTGTTATTTCATAATTCAGTATTGAATGGTAATGGTTTTATTAGTCCTCACATTATTATCACTGCGAAACCTATCTTGAAGAATAAAAATAAAATGTTGATTGAAAAAAAATTGTTCTTGCATCTATATCTCTTACATAACAAGAATAAATTATTTGTGGAGTACAAACCAAGGTATGTATCACAGAATGGAACTGCTAACAGGTCAAAAATGATCTAAGAATAATAATTACATACAAATGTATAATCTTACAATATTTTCTCTCAGGTTGACGTCAGCAGACACAAGTTTTGTATCAATCCGAACTGCAGGCTAAGAAAAAATATCATGGGATTATATACTTATCACAAGCATTATTCCCACAGGCCAAAAAAGTAAAATGTAACACCAGATACGAATCTATCATTTCCACGCTCCTTGTATGCAAATTTTCTTGACCATACAATATTCTATTTGATCAAGTTCACAAGGATTTATTTTAATTTCAACCTATAAAGACTGAATAATAATTTCAAAAATACACATTTCCAAAGATTTCCAAAATGTATCATTTTCACCACAATCCATATGATATGTATATGAACCCAGAAACTCCGGCAGTACAGTGTATGTGACATTTAACTATGTGATACGCATTTTCAATCTGTCCTGTATTATATCACAATGTGGAGATACATGTATACATATTATGCAAGTGATAAGTTATTAACATGTAACCTCGGAAGGAGATAAAAGAGATATTAAAACTAACATCATTCACTGCTATAGATGGATTGCTGATAGATTGCTAAGGAAGTATTGCTTGCTTGCATCTATATGTATAATGTATATATTACAAGTTACAATTTTAAAACATGGAAATACTGTGAAATACTTTTATTTTATTTTAAGATATTACCGAATATACAAGAAAGGACCAAAATCTGAACCCAGCAATCATGGAGGAGTAGCATTATTGATCTACTTAGGCAAACTTTATACTGCACTTTTAAATACTGATAGATACATGTATGTATATGCGATCGTTTATACTGGAATCTACAAAAATATGGTATAAATGGTAATTTCTATAATACAACATGCCATGCATGGCACAGTCCCTATTAGTTATCAAACTTAAGATATATAATTTTATTTATAGTACCGGTAATATAGTTCAAACACAATGTATGATTATGGTGATTTTTTAACACTGAAATGATTGACATTCAGTCATCTTGTATCTGATTGTCAAACAAATACTTGTCCATATTGAGAGATATTGCTGTGGAACAGCCTTAATTAAAACAAAATGGCCATCAGTCATCTATTTTGAATACATCTGTGTATCTACATTGTGTATAACATGATGTTGAATGAATATATAAAATTTTAACATAATCTGTCAAATCATGTCAGAAATGCAGCTCTAGAAAAACATTCATTAAAACAAAATGGCCGCCAGCCAGTTATTTTGAATCAGATTTGAAAAATAAAATGATGTGCATCAGGGACCTATAATGTCCAACGTACGTACAAAGTTTGAACAAAATCCATCCATAAACGACCAAGATCCGGTTCCAGAATGCAATCTATAATGAATGTATAAAATTTGAACATAATCAGTCAAAACATCTTAGAGACATGGCATTAAAACTGCATTAATTGAAACAAAATGGCCCTAGTCGGCCATTTTGAATCTGATCTGAACAACAAAATGACATGCATCAACGTCCCATAATGTCCAATGCATGCACCAAGTTTGAACAAAATCCAACCATAAATGCTTGATTTTAATGATTTTTCAGCACAAAAATGGCCGCCATTCAGCAATCCTGAATCAGATCGTGAAACAAATTGATGTGCATATGCCATAAATAGTTAAACAAATACATCTGTACATCTATGACATGATCTATATTGAATGTATAAAATTTGAACATAATCGGTCAAAGCATCGCAGAGTTATGGCATTAAAAAAGTTTGAACAAAATCCAACCATAAATGCTTGATTTTAATGATTTTTTCCACACAAAAATGGATGCCATTCAGCCATCTTGAATCAGATCGTGAAACAAATTGATGTGCATACATGTATGTCTAATATTATGTATGATGTGTGTGTGGAGTTTGAATGTAATCAGTCCAGGTATGTCTACTAGTAAGATATAGGTCCAGACGCATGCATGGACGAACAGAGGTCAAGAGGTTTCACTTTTTATTT